CAATATAACATCTCCCACAAACACAACATCATCTTTCTCGTTGTTTCCCACAGTGAGTCTTGACTCATCCTGATTTGGCTTCCTCCGGTTTATGAATCCCTGTATGGTAAACGCAACATGATTAGTTGCACCGCTATCGAGTCACCAAGAACTGGATGGTGCTTCTGATAGGTTGGATTCACAAACAAGTGCCAAAGAATCATTACCTGTAGGCTCACGTTTGGACAACCAAGCTTTGAACTTTCCACAGTCCTTCTTTATGTGACCTTTCTTCTTACAAAAGAAGCAGCGGTCACCATCCCTTTTGAAGGATGTTTTCTTTGGACCCATATTGTCAGATTAACCAGTAGTGTCATGAGTACCTTTATGAGTACGATTTCCGGACTTCTTATCCTTCCTTTTGTGGGAACCAGAAACATATAAGGCTAGATGCCCTTTTTCTTTCTTAAGTTTCTCTTCCTCTGCCACTACCCTTGCTATCAAGTCATTAACTGACCAAGTCTCATCTTGGGAATTGTAATTTGTCTTTATAATCCCAAAATAAGGTGGAAGGGTGTTCAAGGCTTGATGCATAATACAAGCATCAGGAATGGAAACATTAAGAGCTTGAAGCTTCGTCTTTAGGTCTACCATCCTAAGGACATAATCTCTAACCCCAGCAGTACCATCATACTTCATATTGAAGAGCTTTTGAAGAAGTGTACCAACCTCAGCATTAGATGAAATGCGGTTTCTGGCCTCTAAGGCTGCCATCATTTCCTTAGCAGTACAGTCAGCTGGCAAACCACTTTTCAAGTGTTCTTGAATGGATTTCTTCATTGTCAATAAGCAAATCCTATTGCTCTTTTCCCAGGCAGCATAGTCCGTTTTCTCAGCTTTAGTACTGGTGGTCGTGATATCTGCCGGCTTATTCTTTGTAAGAGCAATGTGAACATCTGTCAGCTCCATTCCAAATAGAAAATCCTCTTTCCATTTCTTAAAGTTCAACCCAGTAAGGACCTCAATGGAAATGGAATTGCCGTTTACAAAAAAGGTGACTGAAAAACAATACAATCAGCATCATGTGAATACTTATCTAGAGAGTTACATACATCATCACATAATCACTTTTGGGCAGAAAATATGACATGCAGTTGTACACTCTCCACATGACAGCGGCCATGAGAACATATTCTAATCTTTCGTGAAATCACCACCTTTGGGTGTATGAACCACTAAGATCGATCATTTCTCAAGCACATGCTATACATGTACCCCTCCATAAACCGATGACGAGATCACCTCCTTTGGGAGTATGATCACGCAATAGAACAGGAGACATTCCACCACAATATGAGACCGATATTTCTCAAACCCAATCAAGTGTGCCACTTTGGCGGCCACAACCCAACTGAATCCTTGAAAATCCCTCATACCAGGGATATGAGCTTTATGTATCACATTTACTATATGCATGTAATGCTAGACGTAAAGACAGGGGCGTATGTCTCTGAAATTACATGTCATGCTAATTATACTGTTCCATTCATTGATAGACAATGAATTACACCCTACATAGTCCTTATGTGGTGATATACATGTGAGCTACCATATGTATTTCCGAAACCATAGATAAATACAAGAAAATACGCAAAAATACCCTAAAAATACGCGTATATAGGGTTCTATACGTATTTTCACATATGTAAAAGCTTCAAACATGTAAAATAAATACACCATAGTGTAGAGAATCTTGATACGAGCGCGTCGGTACCAAGAACGTCCAAAACGGACGTCGGACGCTCCTTCACGCGCCGCCGGAAGACGCGGCGCGTGCGCGCGTGTCAAACCGGTTAAACCGGTCAGAAAAGCCGATCCGACCGGTTGACCGGTCCAACCTGTCAATGGTCAACGGACCGGTCCGACCGGTTGACCGGTCGGGTCAACGATCGGGTCGGGTCAAAAATCGGGTCGGGGTCAGTATCGGGTCGGGTCAGGATCCGGTTCGGGTCGGGACCCGGGTCAAGCCGGATCCGCGCCTCACTGACGTCAGCCTGCAGTTACTGGCGGAAAGACGCGCCGATTGGGCACGGCCGCACGTGTCCGTCACGCACCGCCGCGCCTAGGGCGCATGTAGGTGCATGACGGGGCGTTCGGCCTCGTCCGGCGACGTTCCACCCACCATTTTTCTCGTCTCGACGAGTAGATTCCAAATATGTAATAAAATTTAACTTTCATCAGACAAAAAATTTAGAAACTGGGCAAAAACCTCTCGGACAAAATGAAAACGGTCCTAATCTGCATGTTTCAGTTCTAATCTATGGCAGGCTCTGATACCACATGTTGGCCACGAAAATGGCACGCCCAAGATCACCATAATCAGAAATCGAAACACGATAATGGAGAAATTGTCGATTCGCGTACCTGATTTGAAATCCATCGAACTTGACGCGGAATTTGCGACGGTTTCCGAACACGAACTCAAGTACTTCTCCCCTATCCCCTTCGTTAGAACACTGGCCTAATGAGATTGCCACTCACGAGAAGAAAGTTTTCTCTAAATCCGTATGTGAGTCAAATTGTGCATCATTAGGTTAGGGGAGAGACTTGAGTGCTATTTATAGAGTCTTCGACCACGGGCCCTCTCATTACGGGCCGGGCCGTACTCGGCCCACACCAGCCAGCCCCATATTAGACTGATTAAGAACCCATATATCTTACCTTTATTAGACCAAACTAATTCAATTAATTTCAATTAATGAAACCCACATTAGGAAATTCTTACAATCAACACAAGCACCACACTCTCATTTTTGCAAGTTCAAGGTAACTTGTTTCTTTGTGCTTCGTCGAAATCTGAGAGAAACTGACTCTATCTACACTAGTTTGGGGCTACATTGTAAGAATTTTTTTTTATATGGGTTAAATTAAATAAGATTGTAATTTATCATTTTACGAGATTGGTCTAATAAAGTAAGATATAAAAATTCTTAAATAGTTTAATATGGAACTGACTAGTGTTGACCGAGTAAGGTCTCACCCGTGATGAGATCAGTCACTATTATGAGATGCAGTTTTATTGAGCCAGTGATACAAAAGGTAATAGATGAGAAGGACTTGCGCTGAGGATCGTCACTATTCTGCATCAAGAACGATGTTTTCCAAATCAGGTACGCAATTCCTTTTACTCGATGAATGTGTTCTATATTCTAGCTAAGGAATTCAAAGAAGAAATGATGAAGACATTCGAGATGACAGACTTGGGCTTGATGCACTTCTTCCTCGGCATTGAGATCAACCAAAATGAAGGAGTCTTTATCTCGTAGAAGATATATGTCGTAAACCTCCTGAAGAAATTCAAGATGAAATATTGCAAAACAATTGCGACACTGCTCATGACAAATGAAAAACTGTTAAAGGAAGATGGAGTAGGAAAAGCTAATGCTTTTCTCTACATAAGTCTAATTGGCAATATGTTATATCTCACTGCTACCCAACCGGACATTATGTATGCTATAAGTCTGTAGTAATTGAGTAGGCTCAGCTGACAATAGAAAGAGCACTACCGGTTATGCATTTAACTTGGGTTCTGGAATATTTTTGTGGGCATCCAAAAAACAAGACTCAGTGGCACAGTCTACTATGGAAGCTGAATATATCACAGCTGCCACGACCGCTAGTCAAGCAATCTAGAAGATATTGGAGAAGCACAGATGGAACCAACTCCAATATTTTGCAACAACAAATCCACGATCGTTATATCGAAAAATTCAGTCTTTCATAGAAGAAGCCTATTGATATCAAATATTACTTCATTCGTGAAGTACAAAATAACAGAGAGATCGAGCTAAAGTATTATAAGACTGAACATCAAATTGCAAACATATTTTACTAACGCGCTATCACAAGCCAAGTTTGAGATGCTAAAAAGCATGCTCAAAGTATCGCATAAATGAATCAAGGACGAGTGTTATGAAGTGATACATTTAAGAGAGAAATCTGGAAGAATCCTACAAAGTATCTGGTCTTCGTGTGGTAGAAGAAGAATGTGGATTTCACTAGAGCATGTGTAGAAAAATTTTAGATAATAGTCAAAGACTATATGGGTTAAAAAAAGACACGTGGGGGCATTGTCTTTACCACCTGTACAGGGGAATGTCGGTGAAATCGGCCTATAAATAGGTGTGATAGGTGCTCGCTTAAGTGTACAGAAGAAACCAACAGAATACACCAACTAAAAAATAGCTACATCCTTCAGCCTAAATACTAGTCCCATAGCCTAGCCTTGTAACCATTTCTCCCACTCGATAAAAACCATATTATTCTCATCTCTTGGTCGTCACTTTACACGCACTTGCACATCTATTCCGCAAACTGATACTTTCAGCCGTTCAAGATACGCGAATAGATTCAAATGCAAAGAAGATCCCAGACACTGCTCTTCTCAAGTTGGGTCCTTCATTCAATGATGCTACTTATTGCACAAAGCTGCAGAGGAAAAAGAGGCTCTTGTGAATGATATTTTGCCTATTTGGTTTCTTTTGCTGTTTTCGTTTTTCCTTGCAACAGAGATATATTCCCGTTGTGCCATTGAAACGCTAGGGGCCAAATTAGCGTTAGTCGTTTCAGGAGCTTTCCATGGAAACCTCTCATGGTGTAAAAAAGCTTCTACATCGTGAACGGGTTGGGTTGAGGGCGATCCCCCTGCACAGTATTACAGTCACCAATTGGAGGGCCCGGTATAGATTTCAACGCTGAATTACGAATTACTGGAACAATGCTTCAATCTTTGAGTTTGATTCAAAGGAACTACCGTAATTATACCAGGTCAAACGTGCATGATGCAGCATGAAGTGCAATGTCTTTGAGCATATTTTTGAAGACTTCATCTCGAGACTCCCAATGCTAGTACACTTAACTGTATAAATAGATTGTTATATCAAATAATATGACATGGTTTAAATGGGCGTTACAACTTGATAGTGGCCGCCATACTATCCCAATGAAAATTCAGTAGACATGGGAAATTTTGCAAGCAGAACTGAGGTGAAATCTCATGGTAACATAGCCAAAGATCCAATTTCAACAGACTCATTCAAAGTCTCTGGTTAATAAAATCTCTAAAAGCATCAAGTGCACTCAAGCTCGCTGGGAAACCATGCCCAAACTTGGCCTTGATCGAAGCTGCTCTCTCGTGCATCTCCTCATCACACATTAGCCTCTCAATCCCCTGCACTATCTCATCCTTCTTCACCACCTGTGACATATCCTCGGCCACTCTGTACCCTACCTTGAGATGGCTCACCACCAGCTTGGCATTGTAATGCTGATCCCCAAGGATCGGCCACAGCAGAAGTGGGACCCCCCGCCCGATCGCCTCTGCCGTCGAGTTCCACCCGCAGTGTGACAGGAACCCACCCGTCGACGGGTGGCTCAGGATCAGGAGTTGCGGCGCCCACCCTCTTATGATCAGGCCCCTGTCCCCAACCCTGCTCTCCATGTCGTCCGAGAAGTCCCCTCCGTACTTGGTGGACCCGATGACCCATATGAAGGACCGTCTTGACTCCTCCAGCGCACTGGCCAATTGCGCCAGCTCCTCCTCGTTCGGACCCATCTCGCTGCCGAACGCCACGTATAAGACCGAGTGCCGCAGCTTGCGGTCCAGCCACTGGATCACCTTGTCCTCCCGGCAGTTCGACTCCCGCCTGTGCTGCCGGATCTCGCGGTCCGAGATCAGCGAGTCGGACGTCTTCCAGTACTGCTCGGGCAGGAGCGGGCCCCCACCCCAGACTGGCATCTTCATCTGGTCCCCCATGTAGTCGATGAAGGAGCGCTCCAGGTCGGCGCACGTGTTGAACATGAGTCCAATCGAGCCCTCGACCTCCGGGACCCAGGAAGGCCGGTCGCCGGGCTTCGTTGGTCCACCTTTGCCACCTTGAGGATGCCTGAAGGGCTTCCTTTTAAGATCGGGACACGTGACCGCCATTGCTTCGGGCAGCCCCGGAAGCAAGCGAGCTTCGCCGGGCCGGACGTCACTCGCCTGGGCCCTCCACACGCCTAGATCCATGGCCGCAGCGCAGGCGCTGAAGGTGAAGAAGCTGATCACTGGGACATTGAACTTCCAGAAAACTTCCTTGGTCCACCACACCTTCAAATCCACGACCGCGCACAGCACCCGTGGCAGCTCGCTACCGGCCATCCGGTCCTCCAGATAGGCCGAGAGATCCTGGCAGGCGTGCTGATTGAGCGGGTCAGAGTCGCGCATGGGAGGGCCGGAGGAGCCACCGATCTGCGCCACGGTGACGAGGGGGTTGGAGGCGAAAGAGGAAGGGACGGCGGAATAGACACGGGAGGGGATGACGAGGGTAGTGAAATAACCGCGGCGGGTGAGGAGGAGGCAGAACTCCATGCAGGGTTGGAGGTGGCCTTGGCCCGGCCCGGTGACGACGAAGATCTCGGCCGTCACCGACATGGGAAGCCGACGATTGAATCGTTTCTTGGGATTCGCGTCGAAGCTTTCAGGAGCGATGAGGGTGGGTGTTGCAGATTAATAGGAGAAGAGTGAGTCAGTCTTGAGTCTCAAGCTTTGACTTGTTGGATCGTGGGAACTTCCTCCCGTTCTCTGTGGAGAATGAAGCAGAGAGAGACTGACTTGCATTTTCACTTATTTCACTCATTTCATAAGTTCTTTCCTTATCCATTATTACTCTATCATATTAATGTATGCATAGTATTTTAAATTGCGATATTCTAAAGACACGAGGGATTTTATTGCCCGTGCGCTTCTTTTGGCAAATCTAGAAAATGTTGTTCTAAGAACGTGAAACTCATGAAATATTTGATCATTTTATTATCTTATTGTCGCGACCTCCCTTTATTTTAATTGGGCAAATATATAGGTGTCAAACACATACCTATTAAACGATTTCCATAGACTCCATACAATCAAAAAAGTAAACAATCACAATCAATGCAATAAAGGTAAAGTGCAAGAAAATAAGCGCGAGACAATATCTGGCAAAGAATATATATGGCACCGTTATTAAGCCTCGGGACAACAAGCCCGGTGAGTTAATTCATAAAATCCAAATTCTAGTTTGCTGACTAAAGAAGAGACACTTACTAGAAATTCTCCAATGACATTAAAGGCTCAAAGATACTTCTTAAAAGTAAACCTGATATAAACTCTACACTTTTTTTTTTATCTTTTCTATTTTTATGTAGATTTTTTATTATTTTTTTACTTTTTTTTATCCAAGTAGAAACTTTCTAAAAAGTTCAAATTGCCCTAAAAATCAAGAAAAAGGTAACATCCTAAACCATATGAACATGATCTAAATGAAACTCAACCAATTATAATCCTAAATCCTCACTATCTGATTGAGACCTTTATTTTCTTACCCTTATTAGTTTTTATTTATTTATTTATTATCATTTTTTCAATTTTTTCAATTTTTTATTTCTCTCCTACGCCCAAACACATGACGCACAATTAATCAGATTTTCGTTTCCTCTTTCTCTATATGTTTTCTTTTCTTCTTTGGTCCATCGTTTCCAGAACAAGGATTCCTGCAGATTTCTCTTTCTTCCGCTATCCTTTCTTCTACTCCTTTTTCTCTTTTTATGTTCAAACAAAGAAAGTCCCTAATTCCGGAACACTAATTCCTCTCTAACTCTAAGCTTTTCTTTACTCTTTCATTCTGAACATGAACACATATTATGTGAACAAACCTCCATTAAACCCCACTGAGGTCCAAGCTTTCACAAACTTCCAGTGTTCTCTCTCTTTCACACTGAACACCTCCAGGGAGAAAGACAATTCATTTCCAGAAAACAAGAACCTCAATTCCATTGACGTCTTTCAATGGTTCACTCAGTTATTCAATGCAACTCATGGCAAATTTACTTGCTTCATATACAGATCCACATACAGCAGAGAAGGTAACAAAGTGAACCAGAGTCGAATCTGACCAACAAAAAAAAAAAAAAAAGAACTAGAGTCGAAGACAACGCGTAGATGAAACGAGGCTAATACAAGGCAAGCTTGATCTATGGAAATCTCATGGTCGAATAAGAAATAATCCAAAAATAAAATAAAGAAGCGATTCCACTTGGATTATGAATACATATCAATCATTAACAACAACCACACACACATGTTATGAACAAACAATCAATAGCCAAGGACATTGCTAACTTAGGAATTCCATCAAACATATTATAGGCGCTAAACTCTCTCTACCAATCGGACTTACAAGTTTCACAAAATTTATCTGAGAGGCTTAATAGAATAGAAATCATGAATCTCACAATTAATGCAAGTAATTCTGAAATATTGATAATTCGATTTCAGTTGTTCTTAATACGGGATGGTTTCATTTTTTTTTCATATCAGTAAATTGTAATAATTTAAGTTTGAACAATCTCATGCGATTGGCCAAAATTACAAACATACGCATCATTATCAAATGGAAGAGAAACAACGCGAAGCTTGCTCATGGAGTCACAAGCGAGCAAGTAAGAAACATAACACGAACTCGGACTCAATGTCAATACACATGAATCTTTGAAAATCATTTTTGTATAACCCAAAATGCCATATCCGATCTATTGAATCAGAGTTTGAAGTATGATGGGCCTAAGTTGGTGGGTTCAATTGAATTTAACCGGATTGCAGAGGCAAGGACTTCGGTGATGGGCGGAACTAGTCCAAATTGAGACTCTTTATCTCTTAATTTTTTTTATGTACTTGTCTATTGCTTTTTCTATTGTACCATATATTTTTTTTTGGTCTTCTTACTATTATTTTATTTTTATTTTTCTTATTGATTTACAAAGATGGACATTCAATTTGCTGGCCAAAATTCAAGTATCAACGTGTGATTTGAGAGGCTCAAGTGTAGGCCGCTTAAGTATGAAATGGACTAAGCTCGAACTTGTTAATACTTGATTCGAGAGGCTTCTCTAAATCTTTTTAGATCGTGGTAGTCAGGACATTGCATGTTAAACTTGATTCGAGAAGTCTCACCTAATTTGTGCATTCACATATTTGTTAGGGACTCCAAACAGAATTATTTTTCATGCTAAATATTGTGTTAATAGCTCGATTACATAAGAGTAATCACTTGCTTACATGCACGAATGGCAGTTTATTAAGGCCTACTTAGCTCTAAGAGAATTCTCAATTAAACTTGAAAATGGTTTTTTTTTAAATTGTGTAAGGGCTGACCTCTAGCCCCACTTGCCGACGAAATTGTAGACTTTGGGCAGCAGCCCTCACAGTTTTGTTCCTCTAGGCCCTTATTGGTAGATAAGACTGGTGCCACTCCTTATATAGCACATCACCTCACTGCCACCAGGTAATGTGGGATTCGGTTCATTCCTTCCCCTTTCGCCATCCTCAAGGCGTAGCCACACTCCCATCTCTTGCAGGATTAGATCGTTACAAGCCCACTAGCTACCTGGTTCGTCCTCGAACCACACATTATCTAGTTGGGCTTTGTTCTGATACCAATATAGGAAACAGATTCTTAATCTCGAATAGTCAAGAAACAGTCCCTAAAACCAAGACTTGAACAAATGAGAAATATGCCCAAGAAAAACTACAAATGCTAATCGAATAGGTAATGAACATACCTTGTTTCCACGCATTAAATGCCGTCAACTGTAGGCTCAAGAGTTTCTCGGATTATACGTCGAGGTGAAGAGTAGAGAGCAAAAACGTCATATTTTTTTTTAGAACATGAGAATGACGTTATCTTTTTTGTGTTTCTTTTTCTCCATATATCACTGCTCTATTTTTCTCAAATCTTATCCTCTTTTTTGCTAGAGCAATTTCTTTAGTTGGACTCTCATGATTGGTCATGGACTGAGTTAACCCAACATAGGTGGCCCACCCATAAAACCCAATATCAATCAAATTGATAAAACCGTTTGCTTTCCTAGAAAACAAAATTCATTACCGATTAAAAAAACAGAGAAAAAGATAACATAGGTCGAACTCAATTAGCAGATCCCAAGAATGGTGAAAAGAAGAGGAACTTGCCTCGTAAGTTCGACCTTGACTTTCTGACCAAAAAACCCAAAAAAGGTTTGACCTTGACTCGGTAAAGTTCCACGCACTCACTTCACCATGAAAGGACCGCGAAAAGACAAGTCAAGTCAACTTCTGTTTAAAACAAGCCAAGGAAGGAAATTCGTGTGTTGATAGGGGTTGACGATGAACATTGGTTTTTGGTCTTGTCTCTCGTACAAGCCTTGCTTCCAATCCCGAATGAGGTTCGTGCACAAGAAATTGTGTGGACTGCGAAGTCTTTGGATTCGATTACAAGTCAATCATTTATATACGAAAGTAATTCTAGATGGACCAAGTCATTAAGCACCATGAAATATTTCGTACCTCAACCATCCTTCTAATTTTTAGCTGGTAAATTATCCAAAAAATCATAAAAATATTATACTTTTATCAATTCGATCCTAAATATTTTATTGTATCAATTCAGTCCTAAACATATTTACGTTTTACCAATTGAGTCTATTGGGCCAATTTTAGTCAGAAATTGTTGACGTGAACGCTGTCTATCTTACGTGGCATGACCGACGTTGACGTGGAAGATTTTTAATAATTTTTTAAAATTTTATTTAATTTTTCTCTTCTTTTTCCTTTATTTCTTTTCTTTGTTTTTTTTTTACAACTTTGGCTGGCAACCATTACTAGCCACAGGCGAGGGTGTTGTAGCCCTCGCCAGCCCAAGTGATGGTCGGTCGACAGCCTCATCGTCCAAAGTTGTAAAAAAGAAAAGAAAAGAAAAGAAAAGAGAAGAATCCCTGCTAAGTCATTTTTTTACTTATGTTACATTTTACATAGATTTCTAATCGACCCGTAATAAATTAGTGGTGACTCCAGATTTAATTGACTTACATGTTTAATTAATTAAATTGAAATCCCAAAATTGCAATTGGTATGGGCTTTTGAGCGTCTACGCTAAGTCTTTGGCTTAGTAATCCATTAGCTTCCCCTAATGGTTCACCAACACGGTGGAAAAAATTAAAAATTGACTTCACCAAGAGGTTATGTTATATAGGGCGGAGTTAGGGTGAGTGAGCATGCAAATAGGGAGATGGCAGTGTGAGATTCTGAGAAGTTGGTGATGAGCTTCGCCGTTTTGGGTAGGGGAGATGATCTGGCGTTGGTCTTAAAAATGAGAGATTTCTCTAAAAAAGAATCCGCAACAATCACCGCCCTTTTTCGTTCAGTGGCGTGCTTTCAAAAGAGAATGAGGGGAGAACAGTGGAGGGCTTTCTTTAAGGGTTAATATCACGAAAATCCAAAATTAGTACATTTATGATAATTTTACTTCGAATTATTTTTTTGGCCACCAAAAATTCTAAACTGGTACATCTATAATAAATTTGCCCTGAACTATTTTTTTGACCTCTAAAAACCCAAAACTGGTGCACTTATGACAATTTTACCCCGAACTATTTTTTTGACCATCAAAAACTCCACACTAGTATACTTGTGATAATTTTACCCTCGAACTAATTTTTTGACTACCAAAAACCCCAAACTGATATATTTGTAACAAATTTACCCTATGTTGGTGTCCGTTAAATTGGATTAATATCACGAAAAATCACAAATTGGTAAACTTATGACAAACAGAGGGGTAAAACTCAAAACCGGTACAACTATCAATTACCACGTGTCATTAAACTTAGCAATTTGAAAGTAAAATTTAAACGAAACTAACGGAGGGTAAATTTATCACATGTGTATCAACTTGAAATTTTTGGTGGTCAAAAAATTAGTTCGGGGATAAAATTGTCACATGTATACCTGCGTGGGGTTTTTTATTGTCAAAAAAATAATTTTGGGTAAAATTATCACAGATGTATTAGTTTGAAATTTTTTATGATCAAAAAAATAATTTGAAATAAATTTATCATAAATATATCAGCTAGAAATTTTTGGTTGTATTAACTCTTTCGTCTTTAAAGCAAGCAGAACCTAACAACCATTCAAAAGAAACTCTGACTAATCTGGGTCATTAAGGAAATTTCTATGATGCTAATTCCCAACAACACTAATCATTTTTAGTCCTTTCCAATCCTGCTGCTCCGACCACACTCCGACCACCAGGTAGGCCCTCCCGAGAAAATATTGGGTACCCCAATTGATGTCATGTTAGCAAAATCATAATTCACTCTGTAATGAACACGTGTCGCCCGAGCCCACCTCTGTCTGGCCAAATTTTCAGCCCATCTCTTTGCTCTCTATCTCTCTCTTTCCCTTTCTCTCTCTCCTCCGCTTCACTCCTTTTCCCTTGTCTGACCCCGAGTCCTAGCCACCGCCGATGGATGCTTGTCTCTTCGTGTGCCTCACGGTCGGGAACCTCGCACTGAAAATCCCCGTCGCCGCCAAGCCCGCCCGCTCCACCTCCACCCGTCGTCCTCCCCCCTGCTTTCGCAAGATCAAGCTCAAGAGCTTCCCCTTCCAAACCGTCGCTTGACCACGAGCTCGCAACCATGGTTACTCGAGGTCGAGCTCCGTGGCCATGGCGGCCGTGAGCCTTGGGCTCGTGCTCCGGTGCCGGGGATGGAGAAGACATCGGTGATGCCGATTTGGACGAGCTGTTGGGAGGCACACCGTCGTCGTCCGCTTTTGGTTTCCATGCAGAAGATAAGGAATTGCGAGGAAGCGGCAGAGAGAAAGTGAAGAGGGAGTCTCGCGAGTGAGGGAGGGACAGGAGGGGAGAGAGAAAATGGGCTACACACAGGAGAAAATATCCCTGACAATGGGCACAGGCAACATGTGTCCATCACTTGAGTGGACTATGATTTTGCTGACATGGGTTGGGGTCAGGCGGTCCCTCGAGCTTCTTGACTTCGGGGGTCTTCATATTTTAGTCGAGCCTTTTGACGTACATAAAGGATATATCGAGAGAAATCGCAGAGCCAAGAATTACCCAATCCTTGAGAAGTGTTGGTCGATCTTCTTTCACTATATATGGTTGCAATTAGCTCTTTGTACACGCAGTGGTCCAAGTGCCGGTTACTTGGGGATTTGTAGGTGAATTCAGTGTAGTGGAACGGCTGCAAATTGGACTCCATTGACGCGTTGCTTTAATCACAATCTGAACTTCGTCGCTCTACGCCGACGCTGACTGTAAGTACATAATCCACTTTACTCGAAAATTTAAATGACTGCTGAGTATATGTGCGTATGTTGACAGACGTTGAGGCAGGAGAAAGAAACTTGCACTTATAAATGTTTGATGCAGTTAATTGGGCTTGTTTGATGGTTATTCCTATTTCCAAGTTTCATCAAGTCGAAGTGTACAATTTCATATAATAACATGGCTTTGCCCCGTATTGTTGACTCCTCTCAGTCTCTGTGCACCCCCAAGGTCTGATTTTTGGCGACTCCTTCGTATCCCAGGATCTTCCTTCACTGAAACCTCCCAATTAGCTCTTTTTACAGAACGGTCCTCTTCTTTGGGTGAATACAGCTGAGAGGATCGGGCCCCAGATGGAACCCAATAGAGGTCAGGCTCTAATCACCATCCTCGCTTTGACTGTAGCAAGAGTGTAAGTGCTCTAATCCCACTTCTTTTCGATCTCTTGTTGACAGATAATGCAAAATAAAATAAAACTTTGCACCTGTATGTTGGCCGCAAAAAAACGACATCCAAGATCTCCATAGCTAGAATCTAGAACACATCAATCTAGTAAAAGGAATTTGCGCACATTTTTGAAATCCATCGTTCTTGACGCAAAATAACGACGATCCTCCGCGCAAGTTCTTCTCCTCTATTACCCTCTGTATCACTAACTCAATGAGACTACCTCTCGCAGTTAGCATTTGCTCTTTATATAAGATAATTTGTGCATCAGGGTTAGAGGAGGAATTTGAGCACTATCTATAGAATTTTAAGCTCGGCCCTCTCATCACGGGCTGGGCATTACTCGATCCACACTAGTCGGTCTTATATTAGACTAATTAAGAATCTTTATATCTTACCTTATTAGATCAAGTCCGTAAAATGGTTAATTACAATCTTAAATAATGTAGCTTACATCAGAAAAACTCTCACACTGTACATGTTCGATATAATTCAGCCTGCTTGTTCAATTCACATTCCTTATTTTACATATAAATCAGGTTACAAGTCTGTAACTTTTGTCTCACGAACTCAAGGAGAAATAGGGACTTGGAGTCAAGCTCGAGAATGGACGATAGGTCTGGAGAAAAGGAAGAGGCGTTAAGGAGGGACTCAGAGTCAACCTCGAGAACCGACAATGCGTCTCACGAAGAGTTCGATGTGTTGCTGAGTTTTCGGGGACCGGATACTCGCAATGGATTTGCCAATTGCCTCTACCATCGCTTGAGAGATGCTGGAATCCGCGTTTTCTTGGACAATGAAGAACTCCAAGTCGGTAAAGAAATTGGTGGAGAGCTTTTGAAAGTACATGAAAAGTCTCGAATCTACATACCTATCTTCTATAAGGGTTACGCTAACAGTTCGTGGTGTCTCCGTGAGGTTGCACTCATGGTGGAATGCACCTCAACATCAGATGGGAAGAAAGAGATACTTCCCATCTTTTACGACGTGGACCCTAACGATGTTAAGCTCAAAACTGAGTTGTATAGAAAAGCCATACCCAAGCACAAGAAGAAGTTTGGCTCTGATGAATTGAAGCGGTGGGAAAAGGCCCTTGTTGAGGTTGCACATTTAAAGGGGTGGGATCTTAAAGGCAAAGGGTAAATATCCTCAACTTTTTATTATTAATCCGCACAGTATTTACATTTCATTGGATGAAAGTTTGTCCCTCGAAATTCTTAAACATAAAGCATTTGGACATTTTTATTTGATATTTGCATTAGGAGTTCATGACAGCCAGACCAAAACAACCGAAAGCCCACAACAAAAAATAGAAAATGGCTAATTTTTTTAAATCACAACAAATCGGGTCAACCCCAACCCAAATAAGGCATTTTTCCAATTCATGCCGCGTTAAGCGAATATGACCCGACAGGTAAAACCACCTTTTTACTTAATCATATTCTTCACTTAATCAACTACTTTACTTAACCGTATTACCACAATAAGAATAGTGGTAATCATGCGGTTTTCTGTATTTTTTTATCTCCCGTGGTAATCACAAATATTGTACAGTTACTAACTCGTGTGATTGTTGAATTAATAGGAGTATTGCAATTTTAAAATTATAATAAGACATGATTAGAATTTTTTTCTAAAACGAGTGCATAATTAACATTACAAAAGTGCACATGCCATGCATCTATACAAAAAAGAGACGTTTAAAAGATTTTAAAAAATTTCCCTATTATGAAATATTAGAATAAATAATTTAATGAAAAGAAATTATTGACATATTATGAAGGAATTGAAACGGTGGAAGAAGGCTCTTGTAGAGGGGAATTTTCTGCACTTTTTCTTTGGAAGAAACTTTGTGTGTCCAAATTTTCAAACCTATATCACTGTGTCATTACATTAGAAGTTAATGGAATGCTGACTAGGATTCTGCTCGAGAACCTGCAAAAGGTGATGTCAATGAGGTGTGGGTGAAAATATTTTCTCAAATCCGCGAAAACTATGTCAAACCTAACCTACACCTGAAAATTGGAAAAAATACCAAAAAAGTCATAAACTTATTGTACTTATGCAAATTTAATCGTAAACCATTCAATCGTAACAATTGAGTCCTAAAACCTTATGACAATTTGTCAATATAGTCCATTCGGCCAATTTTGGCCGGAAATCGCTGACATGGACTCCGGTCCTAGGGGACACGACCGGCACTGACATGGACAAATCGTACAATTGTTTAATATATATTTTTGAATTTTTATAACATCTTTTCTTTTATCTTATCTTTTTCTTCTTATCTTTTTCCTTTTCTTTCTTTTCTTTATTTTTTCCCAACTGTGGGTCGGTGAGGTCACCGGCCGATTCAGCAAATATTCAAACTTATAGCAATGTGGCATTACATTAGAAATTAATGGAATCTAGACTGAAATTGTGCTCAGAAACCCTACAAAAGGAAATGAGGCGTGGGTGAAGGTGAACTTTTTTCAAACCCACAAAAAACTATGTAAAGCCAAACCTGTACCCAAAAATTTCCAGTTCATTGATTATAATGGTTGATTTCCATTTTTTTAAGTAGTTGAAATAGCTGAGTTATGTATGCACATGTTCCCCATAGTCCACTAGTCTATCATATCTTTGACTGAAACGAAATTTTCATGCTTTGCTGCAGCCACGGAGAACAAATTGAATTGATTGTTGAAGAGGTTTCCCGTAAGCTTAATACTAGACACATGATTGTGACTGAACATTTTGTTGAAGATAGTGCTCAAATGGAAGGCATAATGAAATTGTTGGATGTTAGCTCTGGCGGTGTACATTTTGTTGGTATCCATGGCATGGGTGGTGTTGGAAAAACAACTCTTGCCAAAGTCATTTTCAACGAACTAACTTTTCACTTTGAACGTTGTAGTTTCCTTGAAGATGTTCGAGCTTCATCGCAACCTCCTGGTGGCCTTATAGAATTGCAGAAAAAGCTTTTATCAGATTTGGCTGGTTATGGGATTGCTAATCAAATTAAAGATGTTGATGGTGGGACTACAATGATAAAAAAAGCATTGAGTAGTAAAAAAGTACTCATCGTTCTTGATGATCTAGACAAGAAAGAGCAACTCGAAAAACTAGCCGGAAAATCTAATTGGTTTTGTTCTGGTAGCAGAATTATTATTACAACTAGGGACGAAAGCATCCTAATGACTCAAGTGGGCTCATCTAGTAAAAAGGTCCTCAACCAACCCAAAGGAGTTTTGCGTTATGAAGTTCAAGAAATGAGATTTGATTTAGCACTTCATCTGTTTTATAAGCATGCATTCAGAAGTGACTCTGTTATAGAAGAATATGATACTCTTTCAAGAGAAATTGTTTGTACAGTAGGCATGCTTCCTTTGGCCGTTGTGGTGATAGGGTCCAATCTTTTTGACTGGGGCAAAGATTTGGGGCGTTCGGATAAAAGAGAAGTATGGGATGAGACGCTGAAGAAGTTAAAGGAAAGCCCTTTTGAGGATGTTCGAGATACATTAATGATAAGTTATGAACGATTAGAGGATAAGCACAAAGAAGTATTTCTCGATATAGCGTGCTTTTTCATCAATGCCGACAGAACATATCCGGTTATAATGTGGAAAGATTGTGGATACTTTCCTAGCATTGCAATGAGGGTTCTCTCTCAGAGGTCCTTGATCAAAATTAGAGATGATAATAGGTTTTGGATGCATGATCAAGTTCGAGATTTTGGAAGGTACATTGTTCTTCGAAGATATCCGCGCAAGTTTTGTAGGGTTTGGATTCGTGAGGATGCCCTCAAACTACTGGAGGGGAAAAAGGTAAACGAAAACTGCATATGTTTGAAAATATTTGGTGTAAGAAATTCTTTGAATTTTCTTTCTTATTTAAAGCAACAATGTGGTTAAAATCTGCATCCAATAGATCACTTTTCTTAACGTCGCTTTTGTCTTGCGGGGGTTACATCTCTCCGTCAAAACTTCAGGTCAAAGGTCTCAAAAATTTGAAGAGAGAGCCAAAAGAGATTGCCTGACAGTTGGCTTTATTTTCTTGGCTCTAGTCTATATCAAGTAGCTCTTTTGAAATTTTGAATAAATAAAGAGCAGTTTACGTGTGATCCAGATTATTTTCAATCCCGATTTTTAAAATAAACTAAGAAGCTTTTGAATTAATATGCAAATTATATTTCTCGAACAGTAGAAACCGAAAATTTGATACCTCCACACTTGAAAATTAGTTTATGTAGAAGAGAAGGAAACAACTACTTGCTGGGAAAAAAAGTGTGCCATAGTTTTGGGAAGCGTATGTGGCGAGCTTAATTATCGGAGAAATTGTTTGACAATGCTTTTGTGTCCTCTCTATTGTAGTTCTGTAAACCTTATGTTGCATGTTCAATTGAGTCTTTGATATGCAGAGAAATGAAGATGTTGAAGCATTAAGCCTGGCTTCCAATGGCTATAGCCGCAACATTGCATCTGAAGAATTAGCTGCTCTACCAAATCTAAGGTTCCTTCGAGTGAAAGGCATTGATTTTTTTGGCAACTTCAAGAATCGTCTTTCAAAGCTAACATGGTTTTCTTGGGAAATTACGAGTAAGGAATTTTATGCGGAGAGTTTTCATTTTACTAGTTTGGTCGTGCTAGACCTTTCAAGAAGTGATATCGAAGATGACTGGGGTGGGTGGAGCCAAATCCAGGTATGATATGCCTTACTCTATTCACCTTCTTTCCATTCTTACGGATCAGTCAGTGCATAGTACACGTAGGTGGCATGCTCCCCTGATCTAAAATATTTTGTGCTAGTCTAACATCTAGAATGGACTACAACCAACTAAACACATATGTAAAGAAAGGAGAGGAAGCTATAGAATCACATGGAATCAGCATATTATCCCAGAAAATGATATTACGAGCGGAATATTATTGTTGTTCTATATTTCATCCATTCACTACCGACTTCTTTAGTAATTGAACCACAGATAAATATGATATGCTTAGAACTCATACTAACAAGAATCATTGGCTGTGCTCACAAGTCCATAGTATTATCCAGGCATCCATCATTGCCTCGGTTTGAGGAATTCAAAATTTACCTACTTTGGGGTTTGAACTTTGGATGCTTTATGGCTTGTTGTTGACGCTTTTGTGATAGCTAATTGTTGAAATATTATTCCACGCTGCTTGACAACGGGTCTCATACTTTTTTATACACATTTGGTTTCTCTCCGCTCATTAATTTAAGCTGTTGGGTTAGACTTTTTAATATGATATCAGAACCAATGCTACCCCTTTTGCATATGTGTGTCCACCCCAACATGCGGTGGTTAAATTCCACAGGTTTCTCCTAGACCTTTTTTAAGAACGGAAGAGTAGACTTTGGTGTTCCTATGGTACAACCTTGTAATGTACATCTCTTTTTCTATGACATTTTTAAGACTTGATCATGAAGAAATATTGTAACATCGTAAATCTCTTTAATGACACTTTACAATTTTCTTTTTGGTAACTTAATTACGACTCTACATCATGAATATGCATGAGTGAGGGATATATGGAAGTGCCCCATTCTCGTATGGTTGATAAGACTCGAAATAAAGTTCCATGTGTAAAGTTTTTAAATCTTGGGAAGATTTAAACTTCAATGGCAATTTGCAAGCAGATTTCTATAAATTTATTGCCGAAAGGAAACTTGTTTATGCATTGTAAATTTGAATGATAGATGGTAAATTTGAAATATCGTTGATAAGAAAAAATTGATTGGCAACTTTTTAGTTTGATAAATTATCCACAAACTAACAATGTTATTAACATCATCAAACCTCATACCAGATTACCAATTGTTTTTGAATATTCCAAGTGATCCCCTTCATTAGTTAGTAGATTACGATTTGCGTAGAATACTTTACTAATAGTGTTGTTTAATTGTTATAACACATAAACAAAATACTATTTACCACGGCAAAGGGTTAATAGATTATGGTCATTGCTTCAATTTTACCAAGTACCAAGTTTTATTTTTGAGTAACATACAAATATAATAATTGATTTATCAGGTTAAAATACCTTTGTAGACTACGAACTGTCGTCATTTTTCAGCTGGTAGACTATGGAATTGCTTACATGCTTTACTAATGGTATTAGTTAATGATTTTAACTTAGGGTTAATACAACGGAAAACCCTAAACTGATACACCTGTGAAAATTTACTCCAAACTAATTTTTTGACCACAAAAACCCCAAACTGGTACACCCGTGACAAATTTACCCTTAACTAATTTTTTTAGCACAAAAAACCTCAAACTGTACACTTGTAACAAATTTACCCTAAACTAATTTTGTGAGCACCAAAAACCTAAAACTAATAATCCTATGACAAATTTATCCTTCGTTAGCGGATCGGTTTGGGGTTTTCGTGGCATTTGCCCTATGGATTTCTACGTGGACTTGCTACGTCACCATACCACGTCACCATGCATCATCTACGTCACAAATTTAACGGTAAAATTTGACGAAACCTGATAGAGGACAAATTTATTACTGGTGTACCAGTTTGGGGTTTTTGGTAGTCAGAAAATTAGTTTTGGGTAAATTTATCATATGTGTATTAGTTTGGGATTTTTTGTGCTTAAAACAATAGTTTGAAATAAATTTGTTACAAGTGTACTGGTTTGGGGTTTTCGTGGTCAAAAATTAATTTTGGGTAAATTTGTCATAAATGTACCAGTTTAAGGTTTTTCGTGATATTAACTCTTTAACTTATGAACCGAAAAATCATTCTTTTACTAAAAAATTGTAGTAGATTGTTGACACCCATTTTAATTTTTTTATTTTTTATTTAAGGGTCGGTCGCGACATAGATAATTAGATTTATTTGATTTTACAAACAAACAAACTGTTGTATCACTATAAATCTCTAGTAGCTAATAAATTTCACTACTAACTTACTATTTCACCACTAAGATTTAGTTATGAGCAGTAAATTTATAAAGAAAGGACTTGGTAATCTTCAATTACATTGAGGTACTGTTTTCCATCGATGGAAGATTATTCCGTTTTCCCCGATAGAAGCGACCTAGTTGCGCCATTTGCAAGTAAACGAGGGAGTATATTGAATTATAAAAATGAGAATAATTACTTACATAAAAATTCTAGTTAGGATGATTGATATGTTTCATTCTTTTTAATATCACATTTTTTTTCTGCAGATGACAGAAAAATTAAAAGTTTTGGATTTAACGGATTGTACAAAATTGAGGAGGACACCCGACTTCTCTAATTTCATGTCTTTAGAGACATTAATACTTGCTCGGTGTACCAACTTAATCACCATTAACCCCTCGATTTCTAAGCTTCAACTCCTAAAGACTTTGAATATCAAAGGGTGTAGTTCTCTTGGGGAGTTGCCTGAGGAAGTTGGTTCTCTACAATCTTTGAAGCATATCGTCATGCCACAAAATTTTCAACCCTTGAAGCTTCCGGAGATATTTGGCAATTTGATATCTCTATCGAGTTTTAGATTAAACGAACACCCTAAAATCCCCAAACTTCCAGACTCAATTGGAGGGGCGACGAATCTTACCAGCATAACTTTGCGTGGGTGCGTGGGGATAAAGGAACTTCCAAGCTCAATTGGGGAGTTAAAAATGTTGGCAGAGTTGGATGTATCAACATCAGGTGTAATTGAACTACCCGATTCTATCGGAAACTTAAAGAAACTAAGGGTGTTGAGGTTATGTAGATCACAGATAAAGGAGTTTCCTCATACTATTGGAGGACTGGAGATGCTTGAAGGCTTATATGCCCACAAATCCTATGATCTAACAGACAAAAACTTGGAGGAAATTGGGAAACTAATCCATTTGAAGACATTGGACTTAGCATTTACTAGTGTTTCTAGATTGCCTCTAGAGATAAGTCGTCTCCATCTCCAAAATCTTAAAGTGGGTTCGATTGAGCTTCGACATGTGCCGGCTCTTCCATCAAGTTTGAAATTCCTTGCAGTTCAAGCTATGGACTTCTCTCTTGTCCCTCACCCCTCAAGCATCACCGATTTAGAACATCTAGAATTATATAGATTCAGCAATTTGAGAATTAGAGAACACTCTACTAGGCTGGACTATGACTCAAAACTCAAAGCAGCTTTGATGAGGGAGCAACCGTCCTATCAGCTTCCATCTCATTTGTTGACCTTGAAACTCAGGAGTATTAGTCCATTGCCACATTTTTCTAACTTATTAAATTTGAAGGTTTTGCATGTAATTGAATGTCCAATATCACACCTACTTGTCACTCCAGGGCTAACACATTTGAGGGAATTGCACATAAGTAGATGTGAATCCCTTGAAGAAATACCCGGTCTATCACTCTTGAAGAGTCTGGAGCGCTTGGAACTGAAAGGCTTGAATGTGCTAGTTGAGATTCAAGGTTTGGCAGAACTGCAATCTTTGCAATACCTCCTCCTTTCCGGTTGTGATTTACTAGGAAAGTTACCCAACTTGAATAAGTTGGGTAAGCTACAACATCTAGAGCTAGAAGCTTGTCCAAATTTAAGAGCCATTGAGGGCATGGAGGGCTTAGAAAGCTGGGTGTTAGATAGTCGTGGCCGCACAATCCTTGAAAGAATGCCGAATATTTCAAGATCGACTTGGCTTTCCCACATATTACCTATGTATGATGTGTTCTTCAGTTTTAAGGGACCAGACACTCATTTTAGCATTGTCAATTATCTTCACTATTATATGTTACGTGATCGAGTTTCTGTTTATAGTCATGACGATGACTTGAGGTCCGGTGAAGGGATTGGGGAAGAGATTCTACAAGCACTCACTAATTCCAATATCTACATACCCGTCTTCTCTAGAAACTACGCTTCCAGTCATCGGTGTCTCCGCGAACTTGCCTACATGGTAAAATGCACATCCGAATCAAAGGGGAAAAGAAGAATCCTCCCCATTTTCTACGACGTGGAGATTGATGATGTTAAGCTCGAAACCGATATATACAAAAACGACCTAGACAAGCATCGGATGAACTTCGACCACAACGAAGTGAAGTCATGGAAAGAGGCCCTAATTGAGGTCGCAGCAATGAGGGGTTTCGTCTGGAAAAATAATAGGTAATTATGCTATTTCGCCACTAAATCATGAGCTGGATGGTCGATTGAACTTCGACCACAACTAAGTGAAGTCATTCAATTGAACTTTCCCAACACACTGAATTTCAAAGTTACTGCAGTGCGACCCTTTCGCATACAAATAGTTGTCCACTCAAGCAAATTCAATCATGTAGAATAAGAAGTAGATCCTTCTAGTTCCTAATATCAAGAGGAACTCTGGGGTCAAACAGAACATAATTGCATATTAGCACAGGCACACATATTTTATTTCTTTTGTTTTGTTTTCTAAGTTAAAGATCTTCAGGTTATATTGGTTTGAGAAATCAAATCATCAATTAGATCGTCATTTGAAGTGCTTTAGATTTTTGTCTGTCCAACTAAAATGAACTGTCTTTCAATTGTGCATTGCTGCAGCTACGAAGAAGTACTTCAAATAATCATTTCAGAGGTTTTTAGAGCAAGGAAATTGTTAGATGTTGACTCCTGAAGCCATCTTTTGGTCGGTTGTCAAAGATCTTCAGGTTACGGTGGTTTGAGAAATCAAATCAACAATTAGATCGTCATTTTGATATCCATTAAATTTTGTCTTTCCAACTAAAATGAATTGTCCTTCAATTGTATATTGCTGCAGCTACGAAGAAGTACTTCGATTAATTATTGCAGAGGTTTTTACAGCAAGTAAATTGTTAGACGTTGACTCCTGAAGCCATCTTTTGGTTCGTCATCAAAGAAAAGGTGAATGGATTTGCTATCAATATACTAAAATTTTCCCCAACTGCATTCTATTTCAATTGTTTAGAGGATCTAGATATTTCATTAATGAAATTGGTTTACGATGCTAATGCTTAGGTGCATTATTTACATGGTTAGCATATTTGTATGAACGAGTATATCGGTGAACTTCCGTGCTTTTTTAGAGGGTTAGTTAGGCTCAAACGTCAGTGTTTACAAGGGTGCTATGCAATAAAAGAAAAGGATTTTTCATACAAAGTTGGGAAAATTTGAATCGCCGGTGGAATTGGATTGGCAACTGTTAAAGATAGTTGATCTACCTAATTTAGTCGTAAATCTTAACAGATAGTGAAAGATAGTTAATAGCTCACTTCTCTTTGAATGTCAATTTACGCACATGTAGTATGAATACGAGTTACGGTGAAACTTTCTTTTTAAAAAGTGTGTCAAAATTATTCCATTACCATGCAGATCTTAGTCTAGTCGCTGTCAAGCACTTACCTTGAGTTTTTGGGACTGTGGCTCCATACATATTATATCATAGTCTCTCATAAAACTCACATCCGTCATCTCACAGGCTAATATGGATCGTGGTCAATTCATATCAGTCACTTTACATAAATGTTACAGTGACCTCATCTTGGTCTTTTATCAAGCGAAATTCGTATGAGAAAAAGAAAGAACGTGCAGAGGAGTTCTTGTTTCAGCGGAAGTGGAGCTTTTGCTTGGGCTTGAACATCCAACGATCTGTGCTATGAGTTTTACATCTGAATTGAATTGTTTATTTGTAAATACTGTGGGTTTGGACTTAATCTAAGTATGGGAAACATTCAATCGTGTGAGCAATTGTAACTCTAATTCTTTGATTATAGTGGACTATTTGCTGTAGGTACTCCTCGTGGATGTAGGTGCCGACACTCGAATAGAACTACGTATATCTTCGGCGTCCTTTATTGTTCCTCATTTATTTCTCTAATTCTCTCATGTTGATTTAATTGCAAGATCCTGTCAGTTTCCATATTAATATTACAAGAGAAATGAACTTGCCCGGGATATGCAAATTAACAAAGACGAAATGTTCAACTGAAAGTCTGGGTAGAAAACTTTTGTGGACCAGTTTTGCTATAAATCTTTTCCTTTTTTTTAGTACAATTTCATAAATGCCTTTCTACTGGAGTTCTTTGGCAACATATTTGGAATGAATAAGTGAGAATTCGAGTTTGGAACTTTAATGATACCCAGGTGCTGTCATAATCTGAGGTAATAGTATAAATGCGGTTTTCATTGATCATGCTTTTAGCTTGTTTGCATCCAACCACATTACCGTCGTTCAAATTTGGTACAGACAGCCATATGTGTTAGCAAGGCTGCTTGTGCAAGAGAATGATGTCTCAGCTGAAGCTCAAAGTATCTGCCAGGCGAATCACTGGTACTCCTCTTTGAGATTACCAATTTGTATAGCATGAGAAGTCAGGGAATTCCTGGCTTTGGAGTTCAAAGTTCCCGTTGAAATTTCTGGAGAAATAAGACATTTGAGGTCCCTTGACTTCTCAAAGTTGAGAAGCGCACAGCAGCTTCAAGAACAATGGCGTGAGATGCTACAAGACCTGTACATGTCAAAGATAAGCAATATACTCGTAGGAGCCCTGGGCACTCGTTAAAGAGATGAGACAATGGAGTAGGCGCCGAGGGCCTGTTTCAACCTCCTATTCCTGCTGACCAAAAAAAAAAAAAAACCTCCTATTCCTATCTCCTATCACCATTTTGAATATGCCTAAGGACAAAATCGTGAGACTTGATATGGGACAGACCAAAGCGGACAATACCTCAGTGAATTAATCTAGAGATGTCACAAATCCCACAAAGGGAGAACTTAGAGGATGGGTGTCCACCGTGAAATTACATAAATTTCCCAGTCAACATGATTTAATCCAGACTTCAATCAAGCTTCGAAGGGTAGTTTTTTGTCTCTCACTAGAAAACATGACAATCAAAACAAAATTGATCCATTCAATTTGAACCAGCATAAAGAAAAGTGCAAGTACCACTAGAAAACCTTTTTAGCATCATTAACACGAATAATTCAAGCATCTACTGTCCTAGAAGAAATCTCAGAAAGTCCAATATTCTCAAAAGAATATTAGGGCATCATGTGGATAAAAATTCAGCTACTGAGCAAATTAATTATTCCTGTGTTGATCTATCAAGAGAAATTGTTCGTATAAGTGATAAGCATGAAGTTGGAAGTGAACCACCCGCCTGGGTGGCGCTGCTGGAGTGCGCACTCTTCCTCTCGCAAAAGGTTGAGTGTTCGAATCCCGGGCGCCCGCAGGGTGACTTAACCGGTGGCACGTGTGTGGTGGCTAGCACGTGTCGCCCTCAGGGTTTACTCCCCGGCTGTCGGCCGTGCGGGGGTTCCCTGGGTTACCAAAAAAAAAAAAAAATGAAGTTGGAAGTGACTCTTCTGTGGAAGAATATGATGCTCTTTTAAGAGAAATTGTTCGTACAAGTGAGTGTTCGATACAGCCCAAATCGAAGTTGCATCCAAATTCTGAAGCTTAGTCAAAAGATTAGTTGTGAAAAATATTAAGGTAAAAAAGAAAATTGGGTCCAAGTGAATGTTTAAGAGAGTCCAAATGGCAGCGACCTGACTTATATCACTGGTGTAAAGCGGAACTAAAAACATGATCATCACAAGAATGGACTGGATGAGGGTGGGGGTGTAAATTGAAAACAAAAAAACAAAGGACTTTCTTAAGAGAATCCGGAAATATTTTGGGAGTGGGGTCCAATCTTGTAAATTGGAAAGAATCGCGTGGACTTCTAGGAATAACAAAAAAGAAAGGATTAATACTACAAAAAATTTCAAACTGATATATTTGTGACAAATTTATTCAAAACTGATTTTTTGATTACCAAAAACTCCAAACTTGTACACCTGTGACGAGTTTACCCTAAACTAATTTTTTGACCATAAAAAATTCCAAACTGGTAGATTTGTGAAAAATTTACCTTTCGCTAGTTTCCGTTAAATTGGATTAATACCACAAAAAATCACAAACTGATATACCAGCGACAAATAAACAAATGGAGGGTAAAACATAAAATTGATACATCCGTTAACTGCCGTGTGTTATTTTACAAATTATTTAGATAGTAAAATTTAACGGAAAAACAAACTGATGGTAAATTTATTACAGATTTACCAGTTTAGAATTTTTTGTGGTAAAAAATTTAATTTAAAGTAAATTTATCATAAATGTATTAATTTAGGATTTTTCATAATATTAATAAAAAAAGAAAAGGAAGGAAAAGGATCATGTGGAGTGGATGAGATTAGCTATCTTCCACCAATAATTGTGTGTATGTGAGATCTCTCTGTCAAACCTTCATGTCAAAGGTCTTAAAAGTTTGTAAAGAGAGCCAAAAGAGATTGACTGATAGTTGGCTTAAAGTCTTGTGGAAGGGAGATGATGGCTTGCTAATGCACAGATGATACAATCCTGGTATTTATTTCATTTTTTATTACTTTTGTTGTCTTGGCATCCTAGACATCACCACCAAGCAAATGATACTACTCATTTCTAATGTGCGCTCCATCCTTCCCTTCGAGAAGCAATATAGCATGATATATTTGATAAAATTTCCTATTCAAATTATGTTGACACGAATTCGGGGTTGGGCATCAATATTTTGCATGACAGGAATTGGTATGACTAAATCAGCAATTGATAAGTCAGGATGTATTTGCTATGATGTCTCTAGTTCAAAATTGCGGAAGAGTACCAGTGGATAAAATAAATGCAGAATAACAAAATGATAGCATTTTTTATGAGGGGTTGAATTGCGCAGTTAGCGGCAGATTCAATCCACAATCGTTGTGAAACGTACGGACGAGCTATGTAAATTGAAACATTCATGGGCTATCATGCCTCTAGAGACAGGCTTAAGAGCAAAGTTCGGGCTCAACAATGGGGCGTCTGTCGCTGTAGGTGAAGCGTTTGGCTGGTCGAGTGGTGCACGACTGTTCATGGTGGCGGATTCTAGGTGATTAATGTTTGATTTTTGTGGTTAGGGTTTGAGTGTTTGGCGTGTGGGAGAGAAGGGTGGGGTATCTTGGGAAAGAGAAATGGTAGAACTGCAAATAAATGTACAATTATACTGAGTGGGGTTTGAAACTCGTAGTTTGAAAGGTAGAGGCATGTTTTTGGTATCAGGATGAAAGCTCACTAATGTCTTTGGTATTTTACCTCGAGTATTTCAAGCGTGCACACAATTTCATTTTAGTGTAACCGGCCAATCTTGTCGCGACTACCTTTTTTGCGAGGAAATTGTCTCTAGCCTGGCGTGTGTTAAGTCTAAGTTTTGGACTTAACTTGGGTCCTCCCAAGCTCATATCATATCGCGACTTATGATTTAGGTTTTTAACTTGCAAGTGATTTTTATTTAGGAGTTGCCACTAATCAGTATACGGTAGGTCGACTAGACACCCAAGTAAAGCATTGGGAGAATTGCCTTACTTCTGCGAACTAGAGATAAAATGAGTTCGAGGACTTGGTTACATTAGTTAGATAAGTAATGCCCTTTCGGTACCTAATCCTGTTCAAACATCATTTGAAGGTGTCCGTGCTGTCTTCCTATCGATTGTAGATCCTAGGGTTCTAATCCTAACCAGGCTAAGGAAACGACAATCAATACATCGGAAGTGTACAAACAAAGGCCTAACATGCCTCTAATAGGATATATCCAATGTTGAATTAAATACGCAATTAAAACATGCGAATCAACTAATCGTGCAATCAAGCATGGTATTCATTGTCACGCCCCGAACCCCATCGAGTGCACGATACCCTTCTTGGTCGATTAATGCAACATCCCAGGGTATCGCCGACCTCACTTATAATTATTAGAGATTTTAAACAATCAGCGGAAACCACAAATACCCGGACAATTTAAAACTGGGGAGAACAGGGAGAATACACATATTCGTTTCTCATTCCAACTTATACAATATTCACAATTTACAAAACCACCACATATACAAACACCCCAAACTACGAACCACCAATATACATATGCACACCGTACTACAACCACCGATATAAAAAATGACCGATGACCTGGATGTCCTATTCTCAAAAAAGGTACTCCTCAAAAAGTCTCTT